GAAAGAAAGAAAGAAAGGAAGGAAGAAAGAAAGAAAGAAAGAAAGAAACTTAAGGATGAAGAGGAGGGCTGCCAGCCCACCCTCCTGTCTGCGGCTGCTGCCCGCCCCGCTATCAGATGCATCATCACCCTGACACTGACAAATGTGAAGGATGGAGGAAATTTTGCAGGCTGTTAAAAAAATGTTTGCTGCCTGACAGGTTTTTTGAATCTCTCTGCCAAGCGGATTTATTTTACAAATTTACAATGGGCCCATCCATCACTCTGGGTGATTTTGTTTCTCCTGGAGCCGACGGCCAAAATCCAAGCCACCCACCCAAATGCCTGTGAAATAATAATAAGCCCCTCCCCCGTAACTGTCCCAGGGAGCCGAGACGGTTTCTGGGTGCGGAGGCCCGCTCCAGGTGACCCGAAACGCCGTTGAGTGAAACCGGGCTGACCACAAGGGGGAGCATGTGGATCTCGGGAAGACCCCCGCACCTGGGAGCAGGGCCTGAAATGTACCTCCTGCCAGGCAACGCGCCCCCACCCCCACCAGTCTGCTCCCCAGCACTGGCTACAGCTGTAGTGAAATAGCTCTCTGCTGCTTCACTGGGTACACCCAGGTCCTGGAGGATAGGGACCGTGTCAGTTTTGTCCACCACTGTATCATCAGAGACTGGAAGACAGTAGGCACTCAGTAAATATTTGTTGGAGAAATGTGGTCCCAGGCCTTTTAAAGCTTTGAGACATTCTTGAAAGAGAAGAGATAGTTGATGTGAGACCCAGAGATGAGATGGTAAATCTAGCAATTTCTGTGTCATTTAGCAGGCTCTGCTGCATTCCCCTTTGGTTGATGTTATGAATCAGCATTGCAAGGATGCTGCCTCAAAGACTGAATGTGTTCCTTGGTCACATTAATAGAGGCAGCAAGTCCAGAATGAGGGAGGTGACCTTCCTATTTTATTTTTCTGCTCAGGTCACACTTGTAGCTTCAAGTTAAAAATGTAGGCCATCATAAGATTCAGGAGAAGGCCCATAAACAGAGGGGAGGGGAGACGTCAGGATGGTGAGTAGAATGGGAGAGGGAGACCATTGGATACAAAGAACGTGGCAAGGAATGAGGTCTTCCAGCTGGATGAGAAAAGATGCAGATAATCCTCAACTCTCTGAGGTCATGCTATGAGTTCGGTGGAGGGGCTTTGCTCTTAGGAGCTTCAGAAAACAAAACAAGGACCAGTGCGTGTGTGTGTGTGTGTGTGTGTCTGGGGGCCAGTACAGGTGTTAACACTTGCAGAGCCCTCGCTAAGTGGCTGATGGGTGTAACACTGAGCACTTTACATGTATCATCTCATTAAATCCTCATGACTGTGCCATGTAAGGACGAGTAGCCCCATTTTATGGATGGGGACACTGAGGCTCAGAGACCCAGTTGTCCAAGGCCACGTGGCTAGTCTGTGGCAGCCGCAGATTTCAGCCACATTTTCCTCCAGAGTGGCTGCCCATATCCGCAGGCGCTGGCTTCCGGGAGGCAGATGCAAGCTGGAGGTGAGTCCTCACAGCAGGATATGTCTGTGAACAATGACTGACCGAGGCCAGGGTTGGAGGGCACTCACTGGGGCCAGCTTTCCCCAGGGTAACTCACTTAATTCTCACCAAAGCCCGGCATCTCCATTCACCACGAGGAACTGAGGCACGGAATGTCCCTTAGCCAGAGGTTGCAGGTGGTAAGCAAAAGCGCGTTTACTCTAGGACCCTGGCACTTAGCGGCTAGAAAAGATTCTCAGGGAAGGCGGAGGTGTTGGCCAGAAGTCACAGCCCGGCTGGAGCCTGGGACACCCCAACTGGACCCAGCAGAGGTCCCCCCTCTTCAGAGCCAGCCTGCTTCCCCTCATGGGCCTGATCTGGAAGGAGTTCTGTTAGACGGGTCGGGGCTGGTGGGGGGAGATGCAGCTGGGGAAGGGGGTGGTTCGAGGGCCCCAGCCTCTCCCTCTTCCCTTCCCAGAAGCCCAGCCTCTCTGGGACCCGCTGCCCGCCTGCCCCTGCTCCTGTTCCATCCTCTCCCACCTCCCCAAGCCCCTGCTGGCTTCTTCCTGCAAGGCGGCTTTGTTGCCAGAGCCGGGAAGAAGACATTTTTCACACTTTGCCTTTTTTCCCTCTCGGCTGGCTCTCCAGAGGCCCAGACAGAGATTTATTCCCGGCCCGAGGCTCGTGGCATTCGGAGCAGGGAGGGCTCAGGGAGGCGCCGATGGGCCCGTAATAGATAGGACTGCTGCTCCCCCGGGGCCTGTCCCGCCGGAACCCCATCAATCAGGAGGCACTCGGCTCCGGGGGTCAGCGCTAACGAGGCCCGGCCGCTCCCCCCGGGGGCCTCCCCAGGTGCACCTCACAGGCTGCGGCTCCCGCTTTCCATCCTTCCCGAGCTGGGCCTCACCTGCGGTGGGCAAAGCATGGGGAGCGGGCTTGGGGCGCAGCCCGGCCCAGGGCCCCTTCCCTTCACCTCCGCAGCCCCCTGCCTCAACACGGTTAGATGTGTGGCTGGGGTACAGCCCCTCCAGGGACACTGTGTTCCCCATGACACAGGCATGGAGGGGCGGGTGCTGCTGCTGGGAGCCAGCCAGTATTATGGGGGCCGCGAGAAGGGCCAGGCCTCCAGCCCGACACATCACCTCCCGTCCTTACAGCTGCCGCAAGCAAAGAACTCATAGATGTGCACGTCGCACTGGGGACCAGCTCAGGGCCTGGCTCGGTCCTGGCCACATCCTCCCACGTGACCCTCAGAGTGACATTTTAGGGAGCCACTCTCTCATCCCCATTTTACAGATGGGGAAACCGAGGCCCAGGTTGACCTCCAAGGCCACATTCGTTACCTCTGTCCTAGGCTGTGTGGCCTTTTAGTGGCCCCTTTGCTGGGCGTTATGCTGGATGTTTGGGAGACAGAGAGGAAACGGGACACAAAACACAGCAGGCAACAAATGGATAAAATAGCAACACAGGCATGTCATTTCCAGGTGGGGAGTGGCGGGCGGGGCAGGGGGCCCAGGGAGGCCATGGGCGACTCCTGGTTTTGCTCCCTGCTGTCCCCGGTGCCTGGAA